GATAGTACCAACCGTTGCGCTTGTAGAGCTGTGGTCTCTCGACAACCTAGGTCCGTCCCTCTGATTTATTCTCTTCTGATTAGTCTGTCGTCGTTTTTACCATCAATCCTTGAAGGGCTATTCCAGCGAAAGCGTGCGGTCGTTGGCGATGATCCCATATCATGTTGACGGACTGTTTTCGCCCGCCAGAGCCGTGGAACAACGATGGAGGGATCAAACCCAGATGCGTTGACAAATATCAGGTCCGGCGTGGGCCTCTTTATGCTAGGTACGGTGACGATGATTGAAAGCATCTTTAATTAAAAGAGCCGTGCGCTTCACACCGGTGTAGACGAGCCAGAATTTTTCGCCATCGCGTGAGAGACAAGAGGCCCAGACACCACAACTATCAGGATTGCCTCGCATGTCCAGTTGGCTTTTACAATTTAGTGGACACTTCATGCTCCCAGTTTGCAACATCTGTGAAGTGATGAACTTGTACGCCGGCAGACCCATTCGAATGTCCATGTGGCGATGTAGTCGCCATTCCAAACTTGCAAATGGACGGGCCAGGGTTGAAGCTTGGTACGATCGGATTGCGAAGAGGAGGCATGCCGTCCAGTTGAGCATACACGGTTCGTATCGAATACTTTCCCACCTGTCTTCCTCTATTGATCCAACTGAAATTATTAAGTAGCAATGTTCTGTGTAAGTCGCCAGTAGCGGGATCATTTGATTTAGGTAAAAATGGTGAAACGTGGGAATGCCCCGGATTCGACAAGAGGCATGGAGCGGATTGCAGGAGCAAGACAACTTGCTTTATCTTGGCCTCTAGCGATAAGGAAAAACTAACGGATTTCACCTACCGTTCTATGAGTTGGGCCATTCCCTGAGAATTTGTCGACATCGTAACAAAGATGGCTTAATCTGAACAACCTGGCGCGGGAGACGCACCCTTGATGAAGGCGACGCCTCAATACGGTAGGTAGCCGTCATAAGTAGTTATAAGTCACAGCGAGCACTTTTTGATGTTGACTAGCAATGGAAGTATGATGAAGTGAATTAGCTGCAGAAATTCCAAGCATGAATGGCTCAATAGCACAGCTCGAAATTGGGTCAATGAGTAATTACAAAATGTCCGCCCAACGGCTTACACAAACTTCACATTGCCAAAGTAGGGAGTAATGTGGAAGCTCGCTTTATTGGGGACACTCCACGCACCAAGTCCTTGATCAGGATATGTCTGAGGGCTGACAACGGTTCGGAAGAAGTTCATCCTCCACTCTGTACCCTTTGCCTGGCCTTTGTCGACATTAAACAAGCCCAGGGGAATCTTGACATCGCTCACCCACAACTGATTCGGCTTGTCGAGCTTGGTTAGAGCGCTAAACCCGTCGGCAGGAGGGTCTGACACGAAGAAGTGGTCAAATGGGGCGCCGTCGGCGCGGACTTTGGACGGGTTGTACACAAAGGCTTGGTAGGTGACGTTGTTGGGGTTCACTTCGAACTCGAGGTAGGTCTGCGGGTTGTTCGTGCCCTTGTATATGAAGGCCTCCATGACCTCGTACTCCCAGATGTCGTCATTGGTGCCCTGGGACGAGTTGAAGTAGAAATTAACCTCGTCGCGGGCGGTGAACTTGATGTCCAGGTGAGTGTCAGTGTAGCAGAGGTCAAGCTGAGTGCGAGGGAACGGTTTGAGATCTGGGACAGTCTTGTCGTATTTGACCGTGCCGACGCCGCGAGAGCATGCTGGGACAGTGACCGAGGGGACTTTGGGGTCGCAGTTGGCTGGGGTGGCCAAAACTGACGAGGCGAGAGCCGCAATCATGAGAAGACGGGCCATTTTCACGGTAGCAGATGTACCTTGATCTCGATATATAGGGGGACTACATGGGCGTCAGAGTCGAACAAATCGACGGGAATGTCGGCAGCCTTTTATTCTAAGGCTAGGCTTCACGATTCGCCTGCTGTGAAGCTGGGGTTACCGGAACGAACATTCCCAACCCCGCTCATCAATTGGGGTTATATCAGCAGGGATAAGATGCAAAACAGGACCTATTGATGACCACTTAGCTGCGAGAGGTTTTGTGAGAAGCTCGGAGCCTACTGTTGTTTTGTTTTCCTGGCTGGGGTGTGAGCTGGTACGAGATTGAGCTTACATCCCTTGAGCAGACTAGAGGGATTGTGGGGTTGGGTTGGGGTGGGCCGGGTGGCTTACCGTCCGATGTGACGTTACCTAGATGCAGCCAATAATTGCCCACATTTCGGATATTTGTATGGGACGGGAGAAATGGCAATGAAGAAGTCGGAGAAATAAAGGCGCAAGGGTTATGTGGTGGCGACCATGTGGTAATTTGAACTCTGGCATTGCGTTGTAACCGCGTCAATGATTTGATTCAATACTTTGCAGTATTAAAAGAAAGAAGAAAAGGAAAAGGAAAAAGGAAACATCTGGTGGCCGTGCATGCACCATCCACAGGGAAGGAGCATTTTCGGTCGGGGCTGCCTGATTAGCCGGGACATGGGGATGAATGGTGCACAACCATCACGCCATCGTGATTTTCCTTTTTCGTTTCCCCTCGCCTTTTCATCCAACCGCCTATTCTGCTTGTGCCGCCTTTGCAGCCGCCTCCAAGGCCCTATCCACCGTCTCCTCCAACTCTTCTCGCCTCTCAATTCCCACACTCAAACGAACCAGATGCTCGACAACGCCAAACTCTGATGCCCACTCCAGCTCCGACGCATGCGCAAGTAACGTGTACGGACAACACAACGTAAAGTTGGTACCAAGGCTTGGACCCTTGGCCACGTCCAGTGCATCGTGAAAGGCGATGGCGGCTGAATCCTTGACAAATCGGATTGAGAGCAGATAGCCATACCCTGCTTGTGCCTGGTCGTTCCCGTCCTCGTCTTCCCTGGCTCGTGGTCGTCTACGTCGGTACCCATCATACAAATGTTGCGTTGCGCTGCCCCTGGGATAGAATACTCTATCTACAATCGGATGGTCCCTTAATTTGGCGGCTATCGCCTCCGCGTTCCCATTAGCAACGTGGACCCGCTCTGCAAAGTCCTTGCTGTTTTGGGCCATGACAAGCAAGTCGAGAGGAAAGTATGTGTCACTGTATTGGCGTGTCAAGGTGCTGTGTAGGGCGCTTTTGGACTCGGAGCCCGGGCAGATGGTCAAGCTGCCGCCCATGACGTTGCAGGCACCACTGAACATTTTGGTAAGGCTTGTGCATAGTACGTCACAAAAGGGGGCGAGGTCTAGGTTGACTGCTGTACCGACAGTGTCGTCCACGATGACGTGGAAGTGGAAGCTCTGTGAGAGCTTGTAGAGACGCTCGAGGTCGAGCGAGCCGAGGAGAGGGTTTCCCGGGAATTCGGTATATAGGGCATGTATTTCCATGCCATCCTGGAGGTCCTGCTCCAACTGGTCCATGTCTGCAGGTGATGCATGTCCGTAGAGGACACACTCGATTTGTTTGACTTTGCCGAGAACCTTGAACGTGTCTACGTATAGGAAGCTATTGTACTGGAGTGAGCCATGTGGGCGCCTTGAGATATACTGCTGGTGTTTCTTTGCTTACCCAAAAACAGCAACTCGAATCGAGTTGGCTGAGCCTTTATACAACTCTTGAAGAGCAGATGCAGAGTGGGCAATGGCGGACATGCCGCTTGGGTATAAAAACACATCCTGGGCTCTAACCGTGCTGCTCTCCGAAGATAGCAATTCAGATATTCGATTCCTGATCTTGGTTGCGGCTTGTTTTGCATCGTCGAGCGGTAACTTGGCGTCTTGACGAATGCTTGCCACAACTTCACGAAGACAAGGCGCCCGTTCCAACCAATAAAGAGCATGTCGGCTCGTAACTCCAAAGCCTGTATGTTGCCAGAACGCCTTGGCTTCCCTGGACAGATAATGTGGGAACACTACGATACAGAGGCTCTGGAACGCCTCTGAAGTTGACTTGGCAATTCCAGAATGGACATTTCGCACTTCACCAGCAAAGTCCATTTGAAAAGTGAAAATTGCATCCTTGTTTGAAGGATTCGACCTAACTCGCTGCAAGTAATCGCGACAAGAGATGCCCAAAATTGCGTGTGGAAATAGCATAGCGGCAGCTGCTGCTCTCGACTCTCCCCCATATATCTCTCCGATTGAGCTCGCCACTGACTTGGTCTTCACCGACAATTGCAGCAGCAGTGTAGCAAGTCTTTCGACGAATGGATGAATGTAGAATCTAGGGTACCCCGTCTTCAAATGTGCAAGGACCTGGGGATCTTTGGTCGCCCAACCCACGGTATCTCGCCATTTCGGAAGGGAGACGCTAACGGCCTGCCGTTGAAGTTTCCGTCAGCAAATATCTTTATAGGTTTCGATGTGGACTCACATGTATATCGGTTGGCGGTAATCCTTGACCCAGCTCTGCGGTTTTCGGCTCTTGGGTCATGCTGTTCTACATCAAAGACTCAAACTGAAATATCGCGAGCAGCTTCCCATGGACGAGGGCACAAACCAAGGCCAAGCTTCCTGATTTCTGTCAGGAAGCATTGGAGACAGCGTTCCGTAGAGAAATTCGGAACCAAGCGAAAAAATGGACAGTATCACGTTGATTCTTTGCCACATGTAGCAAAGGTCTCTCTGCCGCCGCTTTCGGCTTACACAGCGCAATCGGCGGCTCGCAATCTATCATCATTCTGTGTGAAATACGACGTGTAAGATATACAAACACCCGATTGGAAATGTCACAGCACGTACGGCATCATCCAATGCACAGCATCATTTCCGAATTATCTCCTTGTGTAACAAAGATGGATCTTGCCACCAGCGTAGTATCTCGCGTTTCACATGGACAGCCGAAACGGACGTGCTGCATCTTGTTCGGAGTACACAGCATTATATTATCTTTTATTTTACAAATAGATTGCTCATGGTGAAATTGCGTCACAGATACTTGGGAATACGAGTTGACGTCGTGCACCTGCTCATAATTGCCCAATATTCCCTGCTGCATAAGTGCTCACCGCTGCAGTCCGGCCCAATCCCAAGTCCTCCCGGTGTGTTGTCTGTTCTCAATCTTGTTATTCCAATATTCGACGCCTGGCGTCGGGCTCTCAATGGACCAGTAGTCCTCTACCAGGAAGAATTTCTTTGCGGCCTGCTTCCTCAAGGGCTTCTGGGATACGGTGAACGGCACCTGCTCGTCGTCGCTCAGAATGCGCAGCACCACTGGCAGCGTATACGTGGCGTGATTTTCGGAGAGATCAGACCGTATCCTTGCCAAGGTGACCTTTTCGTCATTGCTGGTGTTTTGTACGCGAACAAGCGCTCCACAGAGCTCGTTGGCCTCGTGGTCCGGCACCGCGACGATGTAGCCTTCTGATATATAGGGGAGGTCGTCCAGTGCGTGTTCGAGGGCCAATATGGGGATTCGATAACCGTCAAAGAATATGTCTGGTTGTTTGTATTCGAATCAGTCGCAAGGATCAAAAAACATATAACGTCAAGAAGAGAGAAAAAGGGGGGGGATACATTCGTTGGAAGCTCGCCCATCATAGATCAGCTCGCCGTCTTGCATGTGGCCAGTGTCCCCGGATTCCAGGTATCCCTCGCTGTCGAAGGCCTTTTTGGTACCGTTTTCGTCCCCGATGTAGCTTTTCGCGATCACGAATGTTAGCCCCCTTTGCACGACCATGTATTTGAGATTTATTTTGGGCATACTGGGTCATCATCTTGGAGCTCTTGACAAGGATCGCGCCGCTGTCTCCATTGGATAGCTTGAGATCAATGCCTGGCAAAGGAGTTCCAATAGAGTACTTTGATGCTCACTTTTGATTAGACCTTCGGGCGGGATTCTTCATTGAGTGACAGAAGTATAGACGCACCTTTATCTTTGAAAGTCCATCATGTCCTGTTACCAATCCACCAAGCTCTGTAGATCCGTATCTCATCGCGATAGGTTTCCCAATGAGATTTCTCCAGAATTCCAGCATCGAGACGGAGGGCATACCGCCTCCCTGCCACGAAGTCTTTAAATTTCGAATTCCTTCTACGTACAGTCTCTGTTCATCTTGTGGAAACTTGCAGATTCTATCCTGGTAGTCCTGTTTCATGTGCCGGAAAATGCCAGGAGTGAAAGACATGTGGTCAATTTTGTGGTTTCTAAAGGCATCCCATATATCCGAAGCCGTGGCCCCGGACTTGAGAATGTACACGCGACGACCGATCAGTAGGCTTTCCAGCATTGGATAGGCTCCTCCTATCCAGTGAGGCGGGCGTTCGCTGATGGTCGCGATTCCCGGCTCGACTGTGCCTTCGAATGAAAGCCATCTTCGCGGGAGGACCACCCCCTTTGGCGGACCGGTGGTTCCTGAAGTGAAGATGACGAAACCTGGGCCGCCGTCATCTAACTTTATGGAGTGGTCGACGGTGATGGAGTTGCTTGCGGCGGGCGGCGCATCAGTTGATATGCGAACGAGCTCGAAGTTATAGTCGTGCTGTTGGCTGTACTCCTTGGTTTGTTGTCCCTGGGCTAATCTATCCTTGCCGAGAAGCAATACGCACGCCTCTGATCCAACGAGGAATGAGTGCGCTTCTTGTGGTAAGATCCCGGCTCCTATCATGACGAATTGCGTCAGTATTCAACTGGTACATGATGGACCTTGCAAGACACTGTACCAAAAGGCATGCATGCGCCGCCTAGGGCTCGCGTGGCAAAGAAAGCAACAATAAATTCGTATCCAGACAGTCCAAGGAATCCTGTGTACGGTGCAGCTTCACGGAGCATGCCGCAGTTGTCGAGACTCGACGCCGAAACGGCTTTGCGAATTCTATCCCGAGTTTCCAGGATATCTCCCAACACCTCGGCATAGGTCTTGTCTAGACCGTAGGCATCGTGTACTATAGGTTCGGGCGTAGAATTGCTAAACTCGAGGAGTTTGATTAGCGCAGCGTCATGAGGGAAGCCCTGACACCAGTTTGGGTCCATGATGAGACGGTATTCCGGAGACTATTTTTTAAAACTCGACGCAAGTTTGCCTCGTATGGCCCCTTTTCATGTTTCTGAGTGGATGATATATAGGTCATTATGACAGTTCACATTTGATTTTCGCCACGGTTGAGGCCTTCCGAATCTGGTGCCCTTTACATATGCCCAATGTACGCGGTTTGTTGTTTTGGGTTACATTCGGACAGGGCCGATATTGCTGCAGCCATTCTACCCCATCACAGTATCACATTGCTTGAACTAGAGTGCGTATTGGTGTCACAGTATTGCACAGCGGCACAATGGCTTAGTTTGTGTTCCGCCCGATTCGCCTGTAGTTTTCACATGGACAACCCCCAACCACGCCATTGTGATGTGTTGCCCCTAGAGCATCTACTGCATACGCGGCCGGTTGACTTTCCCATTACGTATTTGAGATGCAGGACTCAGAAAATCTCAGCCGGACAGCGATCAAATCAAGATGGGTGGAGGGTTGCATTGCGCTCTCCGGCATGAGGTTCGCTCGCGGCCCTGTAAAGTTTTCCGTCCATCTACGATCCATTGAATTACAGATATTGTGATGATAAGGGCAAATGCAACAATACAGTAATCTGAGGTAGTTGTTAGTATGACAGGGCTATGGTGTTTTGGCAGGCAACATACTCATATTGCTCCCGGTTACAGGAAGTCCGGGAGGGAATAGAAACGATTCCGTGGTAAGTGGGATGTATGAAAGTGAAATGCAGTTAGCAGTCTATCCGAACCACCCTGGTAGCTTCCACTTTCGGTCCGGCAGAGCATTGCAACCCTAAATAAAATTTACAGCAATGGGCATTGCATACGATAGATCAAGGGCAACAACTGATGCCGAGATGATGGCATTAAAGGCACTGTACGTTATTAGTGGTTATTTCATTTTTCAAGGATAAAAGAAACATGTTGTACGTGGTTGAACCTAGAAATATAAGGCCAAATAAGATCACAATGACCGAGGTGAGGATTAGAGCATTTAGGGGAAGTCCCTGTCTGGTATGAACCTTGGCGAAGGATTTCGAGGCAGGTAGACCGCCGTCCCTATCTCGCGTCAGTGAAAATGGGATATGTCTAACAGATAGATTATAGTTAGTTTGGGACCGGTCGCGCTCATACCTTGCAAACGCAAAGATCATTCGGCTGCTGGTTGTCATTACACTGAGCGTTGCGAAGACAAGACACACCAGCGGTAGCCTGGGAAAGATGAGCACAAATCGGTGCCATGACGACTTGTTGAACGCTTACTCAGAGAACATATGGCTCCGGCGTTGCTTTTTGTCGCATGAATCAAGATCTGAAGAAGCGGACCAGCGCTGGAGCCGATAACGTCGTCGATGTTTCCGGAGACGAACAACAAGACAATGAGGAAGATTGCGCCAGTGAGTGTGCCGATTCCGACACAGACGACCATGATTTTAGGTCCCTCAGAAGCAGCATGGGGGATCTCTGGGTACAAATTGTTAGATTGTCTGATGGATATGGCTGCGTGACTGATTGATATCTACCTTCAATCATGTGTGCAACCGCATCCTGCGTCGTATTGCTGTCAGCCGGTTCTATTCGTTATACTGACAATGATATACTAACAAAAGCAGTGACGCCAAGTCCGCCTTGGAGAAGCTACATTACATCAGCCCAAGAAGTTTCCGCACGAAAATAGGGAAAGACTACGAACACCAAGCAACCAGGAAATACCATCGGGCCCTGTTGAATCATTAGTTTCCATTTATTCATTTGTGTGATTTGAAGTTTTATCATGCCGGGACAGTTATGCCAAAACCTACAGCCAGTTTGGTTACGAAGTTGCAGAAACAAAATAGGCCGAGTTAAAATCGGACGATGCCCACGCCAGGACAGTAATGGACACGATGACGAAACCACCAATCGACCAGATAAAGGCTCCGTGGTATATAACAGGAAGCAGCTAGTCCATGGAGGCATTTATCACGAGCGACAGCAAGGTTAGTCCGACGTAAATCAAGAATTAGTGCCATCTTCGCGGGTCATACGCCCGGCTTCTAGTTAGGAATCGACTTTCGGCGAGAGGACGCGAGCCATCTCGAACATACCGGACGAAGAGCGGAAACGATTCCCACAATCAACTGGCTGGACAATAAAGCGTTTGTAGCTACCAGGGCAATCTGGCACCGACTCAATTAGTCTAAAGAGAAAAGTAGAAGGCGACCATACTACAGGACATACCCATCCTGCGACATTGATCCAGCCGGTGATGCACGACAGTATAGGAACCCATTTAGGCCAAGATACTATTCACATGTGAAAATGGAGGCAATGACAACATCCTCTTTGCGGCTGATTGTTCGTACCGACTGAGTTCTTGTCATACAACGTGGCTTGTAAATGCTTCGCGAGTACAATGCTTGACTTACCAGCCACCCAATGATACTGTCCCCCAGCCCTTTATTTTGTAAAATCAGTACTACGCTGGGCAATGTCTCTGACGGGGGCCCAATGGCACTTACGTCGGATAGGCGGACAAAAACTCGGCCAAAGAGGCTGCAATGCACAGGTTGCATATTCCGGCCGTGACCAGACCTGCATTGTGCGTGTCAGTAAAGGCCGAATTTGAAACAATCCGAGTTTGTCGAGCAAGGTCTCAGATTCAGTAACGATGTTACCTACCCCAAATGATGCTCGTACTTCCCCCGGAAGTTAGACTGGAAAGACTTGCTGATAGGGCTGTCCACGACTGCTCATAACTCGCCGTTGGCTTTGAGCTCCCATGTCCATGGTTAGGGTTGGTTTCCGGAGGTGTCTACTGACATCCAGCACGGCAAAGGCCAAACCCAGCATAGACCGGCATCGCACGGCTCGAGTCAGCTTGCATCACGACCAGGCCTCGCAGGTGCGTATAATGTAGAAAAGTTTCTATGAAGTTCGGGCCGATGACCCATCGCCGCCAACGAGGCGTCGTCCTCGTGCTCGTACTCTTCCTTCATGATCATGTTTCTTTTGCCCTGTTCGCAATACTTTTCTTTTGTGGCGTTTCCAAGATGTCGGTGCAGGGACGACTGACAACGACACCAAGCACAGTCGAGCGGTGGGAAACAAACGGAGAGACTCTAAACACCCGTGCCTGCCATGTTTATTCAGTTGCCGGAACGCGCGGAGAACCGAGTGGGGGGCATTTCGGGCGCCGTCCCGGCCCGTTCTTGATATTTGGGGATGAATATGCAGCCGGAGGGACGTGAGGGCCGATGACCGATGCCACCCGATTCAACCAATAACCAAACCCATCAGCACCCCTACTCTATCGAGATAGCAGGGGCTAGTTTGGCCAAAGAGAGTCCGGGGCTGTGATAAGCGAGCGCAAGCTATAATGGCTGCGGGGAAGCGGGCATTTTTGCCGCTTCATGCCAGACAGGATGGAGAAGCTAGTCCTGCAGATGCGGCTAAATGGGGATTACTGGGACTGGGCGAGGTTGAAATAGAGTGATGGGCGAGTCTGCCGAGCACCTCGCCGGGAAGTGTTTCGCAAAACTGACCCAGTTCAACTTGTTGATGTGCAGTCTAGGCCCGTCAATCATGGCCTTGCCCGATGTGAGCTCCATTCCAGGAATAGGTTTGTCGGAGCATTTTGTACACGCTGAGAGAAGCAAGTGTACATAAGGATGCCGATTGCGCTCATCGCTCTAGTCCAGCCGAACTCGCCTGCTCCGTGTCTCAATCTTGTGTGCGTCAAGATGCATCTAGAACATTCCACCGCACTTTTTGCCATTGCGGCGGTTGGCATTCATTCGACGCATGCTCATGTTGCGAGATCTGCTCCCAAGGATGCGACTTGCAGAAAAACCAGCGTTGCCATTTTGTAAGTCGTCCATGACTTGTGACGATCTGTAGTTGACAGACATTCAGGGGCGGCGGCATGGCGGGCATAACCGCAGCAGTATGTCCAAAGTATTTTCTCATGCCAATAAAACAAGAGAAAAAGTCTAACACAATCACACCAGCAAGCACTCTCAAATAACTCCATCACCGACTTCGTCATCATAGAGTACAATGACCGAGTCGGCGGCCGTGCTACACAGACGAACTTTGGCAAAAAAGAAGATGGCTCACCTTATGTGGTTGAGCTGGGACCAAACTGGGTGTGTGTATCATGGCGGAATCTTTGCCATGGTTATCATCGAGACTAATACACTTCAAATTCCAGATTCAGGGCCTCGGCAGTCCAGGTGGCCCAGGTAGGTGGTCAATCCTTTCAGCTTTGGTAGCAAGATGGTAACCCGAGACATAGAGAACCCCATCTGGACCTTGGTAAGGACGACTTGGTCAAGAAAAAAACGTAATACGACGTTTCCCTTGTTCGTTATGAGCTAACGCCCAGCCCCAGGCTAAAAAGTACAACCTGAAGAACACCTTCTCCAACTATAGCTCCATCTTGACCTACGACGAAACCGGCTACACTGACTACAGCGACATACTTGACGAATATGATGAAGCATGGACCAGAGCATCCGTCAGGGCCGGCCGTATGCTCGCAGAGAACGCCCAAGACGAAAACTCCCGCGCTGGTCTTGCCATGGCCGGATGGAACCCGAAGCACACCGATATGAAGCGCCAGGCGGTTGAGTGGTGGAACTGGGGTGCGTACTAGCATTTACTTACATCACATCATCGTAAGCCAGCTCAAGAGGCTGACTTGCTATTCCGGGTAGACTGGGACGCCGCACTGACCCCGGAAGAGTCGTCTCTGATATTCGGTGCCGCCAGTGACAACCTCACTTTCCACCAGTTCAGCGACCACAACAACCTCGTTATCGACCCCCGGGGCTACAGGCACATTATTGAAGAAGAGTCGAACACGTTTCTCAAGAAGACCGACAACCGGCTGCTTCTCAAGACCCAAATCACAAACGTCACCTACTCGGACGACGGCGTCACCATTCACAACAGCGACGGCTCGTGCATCTCGGCCGCCTACGCCATCTGCACGTTCTCCCTCGGCGTTCTCCAAAACAATGCCGTGGCCTTTGAGCCCCGGCTCCCCGAGTGGAAGCGGGTGGCCATTCAAAAGTTCAGCATGGGCACCTACACCAAGATCTTCATGCAGTTCAACGAGACCTTCTGGCCCGCAGACGCGCAGTACTTCCTCTACGCGTCTCCCACGACGCGCGGGTACTACCCCGTGTGGCAGTCCCTCTCGACCGAGGGCTTCATGCCCGGCTCCAACATCATCTTTGCCACCGTCACCGAGGAAGGCTCCTACAGAGCGGAGCAGCAGACAGACGAGCAGACCAAGGCCGAGGCGCTCGGGGTCCTGCGGCAAATGTTCCCCAACGTCACGGTCCCCGAGCCGCTGGCCTTTATGTATCCTCGCTGGACCAAGACGCCGTGGTGCTTCGGCAGCTACTCCAACTGGCCCATCGGCACCACTCTCGAGATGCACCAGAACCTGCGGGCAAACACGGGCCGGCTGTGGTTCGCGGGCGAGGCCACCAGCGCCGAGTACTTTGGGTTCCTACACGGCGCCTGGTTCGAGGGGATGGAGGCTGGATCCCAGGTTGCCGCCTTGTTGAAGGGCGAGTGTGCCCACGTATTCAACGGCGCCGAGTGTGGCGGCAGGCTTCATTATAAGACGCTTCGCGGAACCTCGCCCCTGGAGAACTACAACCTTCTCAATGGCTGGGCGGCCAGCAGCTTTTAGATGAGCTGGAGGAGGAGTCAGTGGTTGTAAATAACCACAGGTACATACCGTAGCAGCAGTAGTACACTGCTCAGTCACTACACGAACCATCAAGGGGGCAACTAATGGCTTTCATTGGTAAAGGCAATAAGACTGTTTTCTCTAGTGCTGCAGTGCTTGTGTGGCTTGATGTGTTTTGAAGACTTGTCTGTTGGGTTAATTGATGGCAATGTTGTCCTCCGATGTTGTCGCAATTGAAATATTACTCTAATGGGTCCCCCATCAATGCCGGTAACGACCTGCAGTTCCCCTTTGGTTTATTAGCAGCAGTTGAAAGTCTGGCGCTTGGTTCCGGTGAAAATATCTTTTCCAGAAAAGTACTCCTGGCGGCTATGTCGTGTATGGCGACGCTTTCATCGTCCCGCCGCAACCACCAAGCAGCTTGTTTTTGAGGAGGTATCAAAACACTATATTTGTATCTAGCTCTACATGACGTTTGACCCAGAGAATGTACAATTCATACCTCATCATCCGTCTTGAAAGTTCTGACCAACCAGGAGCTACAAGATGGCCTTCAGCAAGGGCGAACATTGCTCCTTGACCCGCCTATAATCTGACTTCAGGACTCCGCTGACCTGATATCTGGACGTGTCTCGGCACAGTCACTTGAGCGGATGGACCAAGACCCAGACCGAGCCCGGTGGTCTTTTGTAAAGAGCAAGTAAGTCCTTGAGGTTGGGCCTGGTTGCCGTTCTGTACACACTAGTCGTCCAGCCAGCGAGCCATCTAATCGCGCTTGAAGAACCGTCGCTTTCTTCCATTGCGGACCGGCTGGCAGAGTACTTTTCAACGATGCGTGGTGTTCGGGGTCCGGTGTGGTATACTATCAACTTGCTGGTCATGGACGCTGTAACCGCCCCGGTGGCACCGAGGGCGGAAACAACTGCCGCGCGTAATGGGAAGAAGGAGAATCACACTGTCGGAAATGACGACCATCATAGCCCGCCTTCTTGGTATATCTGGCTTGCCAGGTATGGATGGATCGGCGCTGCGGCGCTCAGCTTCCTTGCGCGTCTTTACTACCCCCTTGGTGCGAATCTCAAAATCGTAGCTCTCCAGCCAGCCTATGCCTCCCAGTACATTTTAGCATATACCATAGGACACGCGTCGTGGAAGCATGGCACTTCCTTCGTGGGAGGGTTTACGTCGAGCAAGACGAGTGGAAAGGATAAAGCTGGTGCCTCGGACGCGAAGGCCGACAACTCGTCGTTTTCGGTTATTGCCGCAGTACTAGTACCCCTTGCTACACTGCCCATTGTCTGGATACCGTACTTGTTTCGAGATGCGGGTAGAGACTGGATGGCGCAGTCCATGACGGATCTCGGTGGTGGATGGAACGTCCCGGCTTTCCTGTACGCCCTCTGGAACGAGCTTTCATTTATGATAGTCTGCCCGGCACTGGTTGAATATTTCGCAGCATGGCATAAGAGACCCTCCAAATCTAGTTTAATCCAGGCCAGGTACTCTTACGGCGCGTTCCTCACGCACACGCCTGTAAACACCGTTTCGGAGGTGATCTTTGATCGACTCTTGCGGTGTGACGACTGCAAATGCTTTTCACCGGTTTCTAGTTCTCTGTGGCGGTGGTTGGCGCCTTCTGTCATGACTATAGTTGTCGGAGCTGTCAATGTCTACTGCTCATTTGGGGTCGCCAAATTGTTGTTGGATATGTTTCCGACTTTGCGTCGGGTCATCTAAAGTGACTCTGTTACTGCCCTTTGCCGATGGCAGTCGGTGAGGCAAACTTGGCAATCTCTTCATAGTCCCCAACCTTAACACTCTCCCATTTTGTAGCCAGGCTACCTTGTCCTTCCCTGGGCGCATTGTCTTCGCCAAGACACTTATCCTATGTACTATGATAACTACCATATAGCCATCTGTAACGAACTCACATTCGATGATGTCATGTATTGTTTCTTCAGTCTTTGTACCCAAAGATGCAGTTGCCTCATCCAAGACAAGTATTGGTCTCGGGGAGTCTACATTGACTCCACCGTCGTTATACTCGACTCCTTGGCTTATCATTTTCTTCTTTACTATGGCACGGGCCATGGATATGAGCCGGAGTCGTCCAACGGATAGTGCTTGGCCATGTTGAGACAAAGGATCCGCGTCGTTTCCACGGGCTATCTCGCAGACGGCATCTCATACACCAACACTTTGCAGGGCCTCCCGTAACATATCTTCAGATGCTTGAGCGTCCGGGTCCGGATTGAAGCTGAGGGGTGCGATGGGAGGAATAGTGGCTCTTAGGGGACCGTTACGAAGGCGCGTTTTCGGATAATGTTCCGGGGAACTTGGGACAGTTGTTGCCGGTCTATCCTGTTTCGAGGAACCATGAATTCAAGGAGTAAGATTCCAACTCCAGAACTCAAAGTTGCCGAGACGTCCGGAGATATATTTTCTGAACCAGCTAGACTATGAGACAATGTATATTGGAAGAGTGACAAGAAGGAGCCTTTGAACCTGCATTAGGAACACAACCTGAACCGGCATTTTGAAGATTTCTGAATATAGTCGGCCCAACGGTATACTACTCGCTCGTGAAAATACGTACGAGAGCACAAGTTTGACATTGAAAGGGGTAGCTGCCTGTCTACAAGCGAAATATCTTTGCTAAACCTAGCTTTGTAGTTAGTGCAAACATATCTTCTCCAAACAGGGTAGGGAGAAGTCCATACCTATTAAGAACAACCCCGACATCCGTGGAAGAAAAATTCAGCAAAGGCGCACTATAACCAATTAGCCCCATACAATTTTAAATGTTTCTTTGTCAAGTTCACTCACGCCGTGGTAGTTGTGAGAAGTGATTGGTGAAGTAGACTTCCGGACCTTGGTGCAAGGAGAATAAAAGTGCTCCTAGCGGCTGATAGTCAGAGGCTACCTCATATCGCAAAGTCTGTCTTGTCCTCACTCACCACAGATTTGCACTGGTAGCAGCCCATGCAGTGAATGCCAGCAGAACGTAGCCGACAATGTAGAATACCACGCCATCACCATCGCTCTCAGTCCATAATTTGAACCAGTATGTCGTGAAAGTGTTAAAGGCGGCGTACAGGGCCGTGCAAGTTGCCAACAGCAGGAAGTTCCAAACCCCAACTCTGGCTTCCTACTACAGTCCTGTCTCCGTCGGGCAGTCTTTGAAGGTCATAGTGAATACGGCAGATTCTCAACGCCTCTTGGTACAAGTTCTCGTCGACCTTTGTTGCAAAAGTGCAAGTTATATCTCGAATAGTACCAGTTGGGATCCAGACACGCTGATCGCAGTATGCAATACGCCTCGAGGAGACCACCACGATACCTTGGACCGGGGAGACCTCGCCCAGTATCGTCTTGGCCAGTGTTGTTTTCCCACAGCCAGTTGAGCCCTCACAAACAGTTATCGAATGTTTTGGAGGGTTCAGATTAATATGCTTCAGAGTAGCGGCGGTGTTACTCTTGAACTTGACTGTAACATCGTCAAGGCGTATTCCTGTATAGTTTTCTCTTTCTGTAAATTGGTCTCCGTCAATGATTTTTCTGCAGTCAACCAGCGAAGGTTCAAGCAAAAAGGCTTGTAGTCGATCAGCATTGGCCATAATGCCGACAAATTTGGGGGAATGGTCATAATCATATTCGCCGGGTGAGTTACCAACGACAAAATTGCCACTGTTGTAAAGGCCGTTTTGGTATCCAATCTTTCACCCCTGGAGGCTACGAAGGTTGTATACAAGAACACCGTCATTACTGGAGTAAAGATTCCATTCGCATTCGCTAGCTCTCATTAGCTTTGCTTCAGGTGTATAATGCTCTCAACAAACCTACCACTGGCATGGTATAGAACCTGCATCCATCTAACATGCTTGGACCTATCAATTTCCTTGTATCGCAAGTCCGTCATGTACTTGCCGAAAGCCTCCGATAATCCCATTGCTTCCGCACTCCGCATTGAACTGAGCGCAGTACTCAGAGTCGATTACCTGGCCTGCGTCGCATCATTCCAACTCTTGGTTCGCGAACGCACATTCTGAGCAACAAAACGGCTCACGCGAGAGGCGACTTCTTATCAATAAATTAGTAAACTTCGCTTTCTCCTCGGCGACAGAATAGCATTTGATACTTACAGACTATGATAACCAGCGGCACTGGAAACAGCCAGCCCACTTCTCCTTGCGAGGAATCCTCGGGTGAGACGCCTTTGTACATGGATGGCAAGGACATGGTCTTGTTCTGAGATTCAGGAACCAAGAGAACCATTTGGACGAGAATCTCACCGCACTGTAAGAAGAGCAGGATGTTGGAGATTTGAAAAGACAAAAGCTGAGAGTATCGAGCAAAATATCTATACATCTCGTTAGCGCGGCTCTACTTGAAAAGGTATTCGGTAACATCAGCAAGACTCACCAACTTCGCATATCCCGCGCAAACGAAAGAGGACAGATGGTGCCAGTGCGCAGCTGCGGGATTAGGTTCCCCATTGTCCTGTCTGATGTTGAGAATCGTAGCCCAGACGACTGCTCGTTTCGCGTTTCATGGTCGAAGCCTTCTGCACTAAATTCAAGCCAAGACATATCTCGCAAGCCGGGGGTCAGGATTGACCGATATTCTGGGGGGGCTGAGGGGGGGATATGAATGAAGACTGCAAAACACCTCGTGTTGGTTGGTGTATCTCATGCCCGATGCGACGCTACACTTAAACGGACCAGACGGAATACGAGGATGTTGGTTGAGCAAGTCTGAAGCAAGCGGCACAACAGACAGGAGCTACCTATGAAGTTGCCGGCTAATTCCAATTTCGGAGTGCGTTGTAGCTGTTTACCTCACTTGAGCCGTGTCGTGATAATACTTCGGAATGACCCGAGATTTGCAGCGTTAGCTCAACTTGTCTGCTGTTAACAAGTGGGCACGATGCCCACTCCTACAGCAAATTACATGCCGTGTGTACAACCAGCCGACCTGTGCTGCCAAGTAGGCGTGTACTGCCTTGCACATCACGGGCTCGGTAGGTTGACCAGTGGCCATCATCAACCCAGCAATTACACTGCACATGTCATTAACAAAATTGAACCTACACACAATTTGGTATATAACGGAATTTTAAAAAGAAAAAGGGAAAAAAAAACGAAGTGAAAAGCGAGCCGATATTCATCGTATCCACCTACTCATCCCAGGAAATCTTCATGCTCGTGGGGAACGGCGATACACCGCCCCAGTTCTCCGTCATGTACAAATAGAGCCCACCGGGTTGAGGAACCTTCTTCAGCTCACCAAGCGGTCCAGGAACTCTCTTCAATCCCCTCTTCCTAAACAGTGCGCGGAACAACTCCACCAGCGCGACGTGGCTGGCTTCCCTGCCCAGGCAACCATGTGGTCCAGCACCATAGTGCATATAAGTATCGATTGGACGCCGCGGGTTGACCTTGTTCGCTTCTGGAAAGTATGCTTCTTCGCGGGCCGCTGAGGCGAGTGACACAAAGACGCGGTCGCCGGCTTTGACATGGACCTCACGCCCGTCGTCTTCTTTGATAATCTCTGTCTCAGTAGCTTCACGGAAGAGACCAAACGCACTAGCCAGACGGACACCCTCCATGGCGTAGCCGAGGAGGAGGGCATCGTTTTCTGGGCTCGATTCTGCGACAGCCAGGCGTTGAAGTTCCGGTAAATACTCTTGGCCCTCTCGGGAGAGGTACCAGTCCACGGCTTGGGCGAACTATAGTGGCAATGGTTGATTAGTATTCGACCTGGAACATCCCATAATTTGAAATAATCCGCTTACCGCTTGGGCTTGGACGGGCACCATGGCACCAGCAATTGGCAAAACATGACTGCATACAATGTCGTGCGCACCAAGGCCGGCCTTGGACAGCCCCTTTATGAGATTGACACCATACCTAGACAGGTCGTCGCTCTTGGGAGCAGGACCGGTATAGAGGCCTCTAATTCCCAAAGACTTGGTTAATTTGACATTCATCCCTACAACTTTGACCAGCTGCTCGGTCACTTCTTTTGCCTTCTGTCGGAGAGGGAACGACTTGACGGGGTCGAGGTCCAAAAAGATACAGATAAACAAGATCGCCAGAGCCTCATAAAGCTCTTGCTCAGAGAATACGCCCTTGGGATTTTCACTCGACTTCAAGGGCAAATTGAACATTCTTGCGGCAAAGTGCGTGTGGGCCAGGTTGCCAATATCGCGTACAACGTCAACTTGAGTCTTTCCAGCAATCTTGTACGACTTCTCGGCAAGCAGGCGCTCCGTAATCATAGCATAGAAACTCTTGACTGAAGCTTTCCAACCATCTTCGTATAGCAGAGAATGCATGACCTTGCGCTGCTCTGCGTGAGCAGGGTCATCGCCAGCCAGCATGCATTTGGTGCCAGAGGATCCCACGAGGAATCGGAACGCTTCTTCATACGCAACCTTGTACTTCTCCTGGTTGGTGAGTACGTGCTGGGCTGCACCATACGAAGCCAGATGAATTGGTGGCGCGATGAATTCTGGTCTACCAAAGTCAAAGTGCTCCGCTCGCTTCAGATTTGTGAGGATCTTGCGGTTTTCATTTGGTGTGACCATGGGATAATGCGCGTAGATCGAGTTATACTTGAAGTGGTTGGGGAACGCACGGATGAACAGCTTGTAGAACACACAGCCATGGTTGATCTCCAAATCATAGTTGGCTTCGTTGAATCCCCACTGAGTCAAGTGCCCGGGATGGTAATCGGTGGTATAATGCCTGTCGCCACGGACCAGAGAGACGGCATCAGAGAGCACGACTCTGGAGATGGTGTAGGTGGGAGCAATTCCTACGCCTGGAACCATAGGAGCCTTGCCTTCTTCAGCCACGATACCAGGGTACAGTTCAACATGGTCCGGATGCTGGTACAGGTTTCTCAAAGCATCGGCAACACCAGGATCCGAATTGATGTCCTCGAACTTATCATAGGCCTTCAGTCCAAAGTGCTTGCGGAATTCATTAAGGCCACAGAGATTCCACTTGCGACCTCGGATGATGCCCAGCATCTCAACTGGCTTCATAATTCGAGGCACGTTCTGAGCTCCAAACGCACCGCCGGGTTGCTCAATTGCTGTACAGATGGCACCGACGAGCTCATCATCTTTGAAGCGTCCATCGGGCCCGCGAGTAAATCCGCCAAATGTGCGCTCTGAGGGCTCCTCAGGAATGGTCATCTCATATCTCTTGACGGCTGCAATTAGGGTCTGGAGGTTCATCTCGCCATAATTGTCGCCGAGAATCTGCGCATAAAAGTCTTGAATCCACTTGTCGTCCATCTCAGAAATGCACGAATGCCATCTGTAGCACAGATTGAACTCGGCAGAGACGACATTACCAACACCACTTTCCGCGCCTTTGGCGGTGCCCACGGCGACTCCCATCTCCTGTCTCGGATCCAACGTCCACTTCGTGTCGACTCTGTTGAGATTAATGATGTTGCGCACATAGTCAACAAGAGTGATGTTTATATATAGGCCAGATGTGACAAGTCGAGCCGTCTGGAACAAGTCTTCATCGTACTTCTTCCAGGCAGCTGCAAGCGCATCGCCTTCCAGATGCGCTGCAGGCTTTGCGAATCGGTTACCCTCGTTAATGGAAGCCAAGTTGGCGACCACGTAGTTGTGAAAGCGGTTAAACATGATGAGCAGAATGCAGACTCCGGGTGGGTTACCAATAAGTCGTCGATCTGCGAAAGTATCTGGTTTCAGCTTGCCATCTTTGAAGGTTCGAATTGAATCACAGTCCTCTTTGCTTTTTCCATATAGAGGAGACAGGTCAAGATATGATGAGGAGTCATTTTGATTGGGATCCTTTGAATTGGTCCAGAACAAATCTACATCCATAGTTAGGGGCCATTCTTAATTTTCGTCGCGGAAGAGACACTCACCGTGAATTACAATAGTCGCCCAATACCATAAAATGCTTGACACGTTGTTTGGGTTTTTCTTAAACCCATTCCTAGCCATGACGGCCTCATAAATAAGCTCGGGATCGGGTAGTGCTCCCATATTGGCTGGCCCTGGCTTGCAAGTGCGCGAATATGGAGTCCCAGCGGCCCCAAGCTTCGGCATTAACGGATTCTAAAGCATGCCGTTAGTTCATAGGAAGATTATGTTGTGAAGCTTCAAGTTCCTTACGTTGTTAGATCCATCTGGTTGGCGATACTTGTACTCATCACCCATATACAGCAACGGTGGGTGATCCAGAGAGTTCCATAGCTTGTCAATGAAAGAGTTGGTGAGTATTTCTTGTCGCTTCGATTTATTCGGCATCATGGAGACCAATTGAATAGTGCGCTCCATGAGCATTGTCTTGTCATCTTGCTGGGTCTCTCTCTTCAGCTTTGCCTCGATAATATCTCGAAGTGTTTTGAGATCTGCAAGAAACTCAGCCAGATGCACCAGGTGTATTTCCGTCCGTATTGAATATACTCACCACCCAATCCAAATGATTTGAGATCCTGCATCAGATTCGGTCGCTTGAGAATGTTTCTATAAGTGCCATCTCCCATCTCCGTGGGGAGAGGGCGTCGTGAAGCACGACGCAACCGCATCAAAGCCCCAATGGATGAAGTCGTCTTCTTTTCCGATTTTTGGGTCTCTGTGGGCTGTACAACTTTCTTAGGTACTTCCTTCTCTCGAGCGTGATGGCCATTTGTATGTGTACCATTTGTCTGGGTGCCGTTCGTGTGGGTGCCATTTTGCGCGCCATTGGCAGCGCTCTCGCTTTTGTGTTCCACAGGAGGAGACATGACTGACTGAGAATTTAAGTCGCAATAACTTCAGCAAAGAAACAGAGTTCTATGCGCCAGGCAGGCCTTTCCTTTATATGCGAGGAGACCGCCTGGCCACTACTCCGTACATCCTGCACATTTGAGACACGGCATCAAGCGAGCCACTTCCAAGAGAAGCAAGCTCGACGACACCCTTCAAGGCCTTCTCCTCCAGCTTCATGAGGCACCATGCCTATCTAGTTCTTGGACGCAAGCCTCGAACCACGACGCACGGGAATCCTTGCCTACCTTGACAGAAGTCAGTTGTACGTATGTAGTGCCATCAACACCTTTTTGTCAAAGAATGCCGCTCACCCCGGGTCGCTAAGACAATACCGAGTATACATCAGCTAGGACTTCCCCCACCTTGTACAAAAAGAAAAAAGGAGCCAATTGACTATCGGAGCAAATGGTGCATCGCCCAAAAGCACCAGATGCTGCCCAAGTTACACTCAAGATTTGGGTGACCAACCAGGGGTGAAAAGCTGGCAATTAGCAAGCTCAGGGAACCCCCAGTCGTAATCTCAGTTCTTCTGTCCTTGAGCTTGAAAGAGGTTTGAGAGGTACAATAGCTTGTGGCATCGACGGGATCCATTTTCGGTCTAGACGATGATATTGCAAGTATTCGTACGGAGTACTCCGTACTACTGATCTGTCGACGCATCAACTCCGTATCCCAGTCAGCCGCGGCCCGGCCCTCGAGTCTTTCGTCTTGTCAAGGGAGATAGCATACGCCAGCGTCGGGTCCAGCGTGACACCTCCACAGTTTCTGCGACTTCTCAAAACTCGACCGCTGTTTCTGACGTGTGAAGCATGTAATATGCCCACGGGGATGTCTAGGCGAGAGATATGGCTAATTGGTGTTTGCCTATGGCTTTCGTCTCCTCCATCGCGGAAGGGTTTGCAATAGCCCCCAACTCACGGGCGGAACTTCCGGGTTACAAGCGAGCCAGGCTAGGTTGATCTCGGCACTGCATCGAGTACAGCCTGCATGATCGTGGATGCTCCCTTTGGCAAATTCGAACGCGGCCCTTGAAGACATCAGGCTGCTTCCCTCGTGCCCGCGCCAATCAACTGGTCAGAGATGACACATTGCTCGGACGATAATACACAACCACTGGCGTAGTGTTTCGCAAAAGGGCGGACGAGTCCCAACAAGTCGGCCGTTGAAGCCCAATAAGAATTTTGATGTGCAGACAAACCTGGTTCGTGGCGTCTTTCAGCTCACTGCAAGCGAGCGACGAATTCACGGAGGTGGGGGCGACCAGTTGTTACAACTTCCCTGCCTGCAGGAGACGCAGCGCCAGCCACAGATCCGATTTGCTGCGGATCTCTGCCTTTTCCCTGTGTTTATCTAATTTGCGGTTGTGCGTGATATGACTGTCTTGCAGCTTCTCATCTGCAAATCAAGGATCGAGCTGAGAGTACAAAATCTCTGGTCCAAAGAAATTTGGATTGTGTCAGACCAATCCATGCTCCGTTGTACATACGTACTGCGCCAATGTATTCCGTATGTCTCAGTCAAGACGATAAATTTCTTGTTTGTCAGGCGGTACAAACTCTAGTCGCTAGTCAATACTCAGTATTCTCATTCATGCAATCTCCCGTAACTGGCAAGGATGAATGTGGCCTTGCAAGCGTATCGATGAGGTTATAGATTTTTTTCAGCCTCTTCTTGACTGCCAAGCCAATGGGACCATATCCCTTCAACCCATGAGACATGAAGGTGTGGACACTATATTCTATATATGTGAACGTTTTGAACCTCTTTCTTCTTTCTTAGGTATTCTTTGTGCCAATTCATTTGGAACGCTGTCTGTGTGAAACGTGATGCTGCCGGTCCTTCATACCAAAAGCGTCTTGGCTAACTCGCGTGAGCCGCCAGCTTTTAATCCCAGCGTCGTATCAATATGGATTGTGAGTATGCATGGCTCATAAATCGTAGAGCATTGTCCAAAGATTGGCAATAACTGTCATAGTGAGACGCATCTCAAGTTGACAGTGATCTTACACCCACATTCACTTCGTCCTCAGATCTTTGATTTCAAATGGCATTTTCTCGCTCTCGTAAACATGGCCGTTCGGATATTCAGTTTCTCGATACAAATTGTCAACCGAGTGCTGATGAAAGGTTTCCGATTGCCTGCAATCCAGGATATGGTCAAGCCCCGGCGGGTGTGTCAATCGGAATATGCCATACCTTGACAGCTGTCAGCGCAAATCTTGGCTCAGAAGAGGGTCCAACACTTACGACGGAGTAAATCTAGGTGCACACACTATTGCAATACTCTCCGGCATCATAACCTGATATCCAGCGTGGGTGTGCAAGTCTCGAGAACTCATGAAGCAAGTTTGAGTTGGGTGCGTATGAATCCATCCGAGAACCATCAAGTCCTCTCCAGCACAGTAATCGAATATTGCACTCTCGTTTTCTGTCTCACAAGTATCTGACGTGCATTTTTGATCTGGAATGAGCAAGCTGCGCACGAACAATGCGTTATTAACTGGTGTCCCGCACAAGATGCCGCACATTTCCAGGCCCTTGTTTGTGTTTGGAGCTGCGACATCTAAGAAGGCGGCTCGAAGTTTACTGGGAAGAAATACAGAACGGATTGGGTCGCCATTTTCGAGATATGCTCCAGGTTTAAATGCCAGTCGTTCTTTCTTAGGGAGTGGTGGGCCATCTAGTGTTTTCGGAGGAAGAGGAGGTTGATTCTTTCTTGCCACCTCATGACTTGGATAAGGTGCCGAAAGTGAGTCCACAACAGGAACTTTGTTCGGAACCACTGGTGACTCACGTCGAGATGTATATGACGGATCTCTGGGAGGGGCATGTATGTATTCTTTGGGGGGGCGACTGGGGGGCGGTAAGCTGGGCGGTGGTGGTGGTAGTGGTGGTGTTTGAGGGGCTTCATCAAATTGAAGGGGTCTCGATTTCGATATTGACGGGTAAATGTACGACTGCGGCACAGCGTCTCGATGCGACGTAGCCGTTGGCTTGTTGGCCTGACCCTCACATAGATCTTGTTGTGAAGATTCTGTGGCTCTTCGAACAGCTTCCATCTGACTTTGAAGGCTAAAGTCGAGTTTTTGGCCATCGCCAAAGCGAGACGTAAGAATGGTGTCTCCGTAAACCCGAGTGCGTCTGTTCGCCTGCCTCACTGTATCTCTCCGCGCCAACTCCTTCTGCGCCAACTCTACAGCCAGTTCTTGGTTTTCGGATGCGTCTAGAACAGTTGCATTGCCGCTCAGGCTGGGGTCGCGGGCCGCAAATTCCCCGTAACTTGATGGCGACTTTATTTGTCCTTGTTCTGCTAGTTTCAAGCCTGCAGGTCTCATTCGCTCCCATTCAGCATATTCGTCATTTATTATAGGCTTTATTTCTTCGAGGTCGGCGATAACGCGGTCTATACGCTTGGAAAGCGGACGAAAGGCTTTACGGCTTTCAGGGTCTTTAAACTGGGGGTGTGTCTGGAGGCATTTCAAGACCAGCACTGAATGTCTATACAACATCACATATGCTCGGCCATAGTCGCCATCCGACATGGCGAACGAAGCCTTTAGATTTGTTAGTAGCTGTGATCCGCTCGGTGATTGACCACGAAACCTGTAGATTGCCGCAGCGAGAATAGACATACCTCTTGGTAAAGCGTCTCTGCAGCTCTAGTCCAGTGCTTGAACGGAATGTTTGCGTTGAAAGTGAAGTTCTCGGCCTGAGCGACAAGCTCTTTCACGCTCTGCGGCCGTGTCGGCCGCATGCCTGATCCAGCATCCATCGCAATGATTCGTCCTGGAGAGTCGCGGTCCTCGTTCGGTATTGCGCTTCTAACCTCAGGCTAATAGGCCGCCGGGTGATATGGCAAGTCTCCATAGGCTCATCCTACTGGCACCAGGATTCAGCGCATCCTCCTGGCTCCCGAAGGTATGTATGAAAGTTGACAGAAAGTAGAATGCGAATGGTGACAAGAGCAGCGCGAGGTGGACCTGGCCCGACTGGTGACGTGGGCTGGCAGTTCTACAGCTTTCCGACGTTGAATGTTCAATGTTGGTGGGGCAGGTGGCAGGTTCGCCGCATCGCGCGAGGTCACCTTTGGAATTATTCCCGCTTCAATTCTGAAGTTATCCACGTGCAAAATCCACGGTTATTCCACTGCTGAGGAAATTTTTGGATGAAACTTGGCTAGTCTAGTGCCTTGTTGGACTCTTGATGCCTTGATGAGAACGCTCATCAATATACCGCGGGGCTCACGTGCCACACGCAGCTGCCTAGAGCACCTTGCGGATTATTAGTCTGCGCTATGCTCAGGCAACATTGAAATACTCCGTATGTATCTGATATGTCATCTACAAGTCATCAATGAGGATGCTGTTGTGGCCCTAGCACATGTTTTCTTCACGTTGCCCAGTCCGCAAACCGCATCCCACAACAATCTACACCACAGAGCCGAGTCTTGGGGAGAATAGTCAACCTTATTAAGATCCAAGATTCACCATCCCACTCATACGATATCAAATTTCACGTGGGTCTATCATCCTATTTTTCTTCTCCGTGGGAAACTAGTGTTATTTTTGAGGTGCTTTCCCGCCCGCAGCGGCTTGAGCGGAGGCTTGGATTTGAATGATTTCCGCCTTCTTCTTCTCAAGCTCGTCCTGAGTCTCCTTGATCTGTGCCTCCAACCTCGTTCTAGAAATTCTAGGTTAGTCATATCTTGCATTCCCAAACTATAGCTGTCGAATAATGAACCTACACTTCGCCTGCAATAAAATCTAGACGCCCTTTAACAGTGCTCTCTGCCTCGACCTTGTCTTGCTTCAGAAGCACAGGGCCCATGAGCTTATAAATGGTTTCATCCTCTCCCAGCTTCTCAAACTCCTATTTTCTGCATTAGATATCAGGCTGATTTCAATTGGGTGGTAAATCGTTTCGTCAAACCTTGAAGACACCAGCGTTCTCTTGTTGTTGACTTTGCAATTTTTGCCGAGAGTTTACGGTGTTTTGTAAGTCTAGCAGTGATCTGTTATTATATAGTCTTAACTGGGCCATTCGGCCTCCCTTTTAGTTGAAAATCACCTTGTTGAAGTTTCTGGTACTCGTCAGACAGAGTCTGGAGCTTGGCCTGGATCTCAGCCATAGCTATTGAGCGTGAGACAACGGGCGCGGCGTAGGGTACGGTAGGGAGTTCTATCCGCACCTGACCTGGTTCGAGACTCTGATCTTTATCTTTTGAAGTAGTTCCTGTCGTGCCGGGACACCTTTGTCTCGAGTGAGTCCAGATGCATTAAAGTCTTGACGTTCAACAGCTGGTTTCGAGCCCCGTCAAATTGTCTCCAGATATTTCGACACCGTTTGCCCCAGCAGGTGCAAGCAAAGGGACAAAAGGCAAGGGCAAAGAACCACCAGTAGATCTTTAATTGCACTCTCGCAACCACCAGACTATCTGGGAACCAACTAAAGCTCAGTAAACCATAAGTATGTCAGTGAAAAATAGTTTAGTGCTTGCGTAGGTGGCAGCAAAGAAGAATTCTGGAGTAATTTCAAGCCCCCCGCCACTTGACTCCAATACTTGCCTGTTACCCCGCCAATCCAAACAAGACCAGGTACCTGTCGACTAACCCTGACGTTAACTTTCTCATGTGGACTTGATGACTCTGATGTTACCAGTCCCAACAACGCCCGCGACTACATCACACCTCATCACCGACTTCGCGCTTCGCTGCTCCTCCTCCGTCTATCTTAACTCACCCTACGTGAAATCCGTCGAGGAGCGCGTCTGCGAGCTGTGTTACGTGCGCCGCCCGATCTCGCTTGTCCGCACGCCTCTCTGCTCTGAGCATTCCTCCGACTCTACACGATTCCGCAAATCGTACATCGCAAGACTGTGTCAGCATGTCAACAAATTTCCGCGACCGGGCCATCGCCGAGGTCCAGAAAGCTATTGCTGCGGACCATGCCAAGGAATATCAGAAGGCGTTCGATCTCTACATGTCCAGCATGGAGTTATGGGTCAAGGCCCTGAAGTGGGAGAAGAACAAGGCTCTGAAGGCAACCATGCAAGAGAAGATGGCGACGTACCTCGATCGTGCCGAAAAGCTTAAACAATTCCTGCAGTCTGAGGCCGACACCAACGCCAACGGAGGAAAAGCTCTCATGGGTGCAAACGGCGCAAGCACAGGCAAAGGTAAAGGTGCTCCGGAGGATGACGACAGCAAAAAGCTCAGGAATGCCTTGTCCGGAGCCATCTTGCAAGAGAGACCAAATGTTCGGTGGGAGGATATTGCTGGTCTAGAAGGGGCAAAGGAAACTCTCAAGGAAGCTGTTGTGTTGCCCATCAAATTTCCCAGCTTGTTCCAGGGCAAACGCCAAGCGTGGAAGGGCATTTTGCTCTACGGTCCTCCGGGTACTGGAAAAAGTTACCTTGCCAAGGCTGTTGCAACGGAAGCCAACAGTACATTCTTCAGCATCAGCAGTTCAGATTTGGTGAGCAAATGGATGGGTGAAAGTGAAAGGTGGGATAATCCTTCAAGAGTCGACAGTTGTATATCGGCATGCTAACAATTAGCCTCCTGTAGACTTGTAAAGGCTCTTTTCTCCATGGCAAGAGAGAACAAGCCGTCGGTCATTTTCATTGACGAAATTGACGCTCTGTGCGGTCCACGTGGCGAGGGTGAATCCGAAGCTTCTCGACGTATCAAGACCGAAATCCTCGTCCAAATGGATGGTGTTGGCAATGACAGCAAGGGTATTCTTGTGCTTGGCGCAACCAATATTCCCTGGCAGCTTGACGCAGCCATTCGTCGACGATTCCAAAGACGAGTGCACATTGGCCTTCCAGACCTCAATGGTAGAGCAAGAATGTTCAAGCTTGCCGTCGGTGATACCGACACTGCTTTGCAAGCCGGCGATTACAATACGCTTGCCAATAAATCAGATGGGTTTTCCGGAAGTGATATTGCCAATGTGGTGCAACATGCTCTGATGCGCCCTGTTCGCAAGATTTTGCAAGCCACGCATTTCAAACCTGTGAGATTGGACCTCAATTAAACCCATCATGGAGGAACTTGCTAACCTGCGACAGGTTATGAAAGACGGAAAGAGGATGTTGACACCGTGCTCTCCAGGTGACCCTGAAAAGATCGAAATGACATATGACGGCGTCAATTCAGACGAGCTTTTGGCGCCCGACGTCTCGCTGAAGGACTTTGAGATGGCTTTAGAGGATTCGCACCCTACAGTATCCAAGGAGGACATTGAGAAGCAAATCGACTGGACCAATGAGTTTGGAAGTGAAGGTGCCTAGTATGGTGCAAAGTTGCCTGGTACGATGCACAAGTATATAGCATGACGGCGTCCTCTGGAGTTTTATGTGGCATTTGGCGAGCTTGCAGACTTATATTGATTCTTTGGAGTTGGTGTGCTCTGTAGGGGCTTTGGTGTTTCTGTTACTTGATCCGTACTTTTCAGAGTCTATAAGAGACAACTAACAACCCACGATAGCTTGTGTCGTGGACATGCTGGACTGGGGATTGCTCAGTGATGGAGGAGCTTGGCACACACAACTGAATTACTATACAACTGGAAGACATCTAGACCCTTTCTACTTTCTTTTTTTCCTTTCACCCCTCAACTACGAGTAATGTAAACAGGATCTTGGCTTTGGCTATGCTTTACCAGTATTGATTTGGCGACCAAATTCGTGCCCCTGTAGGACCTCTTTCTGATGCTGCCGGTTCCGAAAGCAAAGGTGTGGACCCTTTTTTCTTGGTTGTCAATGCATGACGGGTCCGACAGGGAAAGCTAGCTCTGAAACGTCATACCAAACTTCGAACCTGCAATTAACCCGCAGCGCCACTATATTGGCGAGTAACATCAACATCATTCCTTGATGCTGGCACCAATTCATCATGGCCACAATTCTCTCGCAAGGTTGGCTATTCGGCCAGTCCTGCTACAGGCTCGCGGCAAGGTGACCACCACGAAGTCGAAGACTGCCAAAGCCGTTAAAGCAAAGACAGTCCCGAAGACGAAAGCGGCGAAGCCAGAAAAAACCAAATCGACAAAGTCAGCAGCGACAGAAGCGACAGAAAAAGCGGCAGAAAAAACGAAGTCAAACTCAATGACCTCACCGATGCTCTCAGTTACCAGCGACATTGCGCGTCAGCTAAATCTTACTGGGGTGTGGAAGCGAACTGGAGGGCGGAAGAAGGCGGATGCAATTCGGGCCATTGAACCTCGCAGAGTCAATATAATCAGCGAGGGCTTGTGCGGTATGATATTTCAGAACCTGCAGATTTTTATTTCTCGAATCTAATCCGGAATGTTACAGGCGACGTCATACGTTATATTGCGCCTTCGCTCGAACGACATCGAGGATGCGACCTTGTCGATTTAAACCCTGGGGCAGGAGTATGGAGCCGCAAACTGCATGAAATCCTTGAACCGCGCAAGCACGTCATGATGGATCTCGATGCCGAGCTGTACAAACCCTTTCTGGCCGACCTCATATCAAAAGACAATGTCGAGTTGATACCGAAATCCGGACTGGTCTGGAAAGACCTTCTCGAAATGCTTCGCACAAGTCTAACCGAACAGCGAGAAACTACTCAAAAGAATACGCCTAGTCGTAACGACACCCTCCTTGTCACGGCAAATTTGTCCATGTTTCCAAAGAAGGCATTTCACGGATTCGATAGCATTAGTTCCATGATTTTGTACCAATTCATTTCGAGCATAAGCACGTCAACGCTATTTCAGCGATACGGTTTGGTCCGTATGCTTATATGGGTTAATGACGAAGATAAGAGGAGGCTTCTGCCTCGGTCCATCAATAGGCGCAAGAAGAGCGCATTTGAGACCGAGTTGTCGTGTGAATGGGTCCATGAAGTCGCCGGACTGGATGCCGAAGTACAAGACCGCAATGCACTCCGCGATGAATGGATCAATATGGAGTCAGCTGTCCGGACACTTGAACGGATGAAGGCTGCCGGATTGTCCATGCCCAAAGGACGAGAGACGCTGGTGTACTCGAAGCTGCAACAAGAGCCCGCGCTATTGGGGCAGAAACTGGCGGGTGCAAGACCGCCATCACTAACACGACCATTCAAGCAAGAGCTCGAGTTGCTTGAGCAGGGGCTCTCTGAATCAGCCGCGTCTTCAAAGCGACTCAAGGCGCTGCGACAGCGCGAAAAATACGACCAAGAAGATGCCCTCATGTATCTGGGCCTGCTCCAGGAGAGAGAGGCTGTGGCAGAGTTGGCAGCATCCTCGCCAACCGAGTTTGAACGCGCCAACGCGGCGTGGAACGAAAAAATCGACAACCTCAAAAAGAACGCACGCAACGAGTTCAACGGAATAAAGGATAGCTACCACCTCTTCCGCCAGTCACCACCAGCACTGCTCTGGGACAGGAGGGACTACGAGCCCCTGTCCGCAAAGGGGGAAGAGTTTTTTCCCAATGCGCCGACAGCACTGCTTGACATCCAGCCAAAGGCCATGCACCCCGTCTTCAGACAGCATGGTCCGAATAGCTCACGCTCAGGCGACATGTCCGAGGTCATGCTGCGGTTCTGGTTCCATCACACGCTGCTACCTATCCACAAGGCCATGGAGGGCCTCTGGGGCGGATTTGGCGACTTGATTACGGAATGCCCTAGTGTGAGGGATCCGAGTCGCGGAGGCACGCCCATGACAGGGAATGGGGCGCTCACCGTACGAGCCATGAATGCCGACCAGTGGGCTGAAATTGTGGAGGCTTGGATGAACTGGCCGTTTAGACCGAGTTATACGCAGATGCTGGGCAGGTTGGTTGAGGATGTTGAGGGTGAATGGGATGAGGAAGATGTCAAGTCCGGGGCCACGGGGTTGGCGCTCTAGGGCGTGGGTGCATATGATTAGATGTAGAATTACTCAAAGAGATGGTTCCGAAGGGTCTTTGTATACAGGAGGATCAGGCTTTACGCAAACCAAATATACCACTTCACATCGGCACTTATCAAGCATGCCACGGCCGCCAGGCACCCAAACTCTGCTCCGAACTGCTCGATGTCCTTCCATTTCACAGCCTCCCTGCATGCTTAGAAATGGGACTTCCAAAGAAATATCCTTCAAGACCATTTCTTGCATCACAATGCTGCTCCTCTTCCCCATCCCTCTCTCCCTCCAGGTTGTCACCGACGCCGAGACCCCCTCTGACTTCATCCCCGACCGCCCCAAATGATGTTCTTTCGTATAAGCAGTTTTCCGCTTCAAAATAAGGTGTGGTAGTAGGGAAGTACACAAACTTAACATCAGACGTAATCAAATTAGAATACACTAAAGAAAAGTAGAAAGCTAGGAAGAAAGACTAAATCTTAAACGTGGGAGTCATTGCCGATGAAACGTGACGATTTGGAGTTTTTCTTAGCAGATGAACGCGCTCGTGTGTAACTGTACAAGAAAAAAAATGATAGTAAAAATTCGTAGCAGCACACTACTTCCCCTATCATACAATGCGTTCGTATCAACTGTTCACAAAGGTATAGTGCATAATCCATGTCCGCCCGTCGCATAATGCTATACATGATGTTGAGGTTTTGTTTGTTCCACCTCACCAGAACGCCAGAGGCCTTCCTTCTTTATCCAACACGAAGGAACTCGGAAGGACTAAGAAAGGACAAATAAAAGGAAAAAAAAAGGCCAGCAGACTAGCAAGTGTTCAGAATCCCCTCCCCCTAGACGTCCCCAAAGCAGTCTACTTTCCCCTTGCATCATTTTGCAGCACCAGTCGACAAATCTAGCTTTGGCCTAATTTTACCACCACCATGACCATGACTTGGCCAGTGATGGGTTTTTGGCAACGTCATCTGTCCAGCCCATGGACTCGCGGTCGTCATCCATAATGCGAGCATATTCAAGGAACAGTCGCAGCATATATATTTGCATGTCTTCCTTGCGAAGAACCCGCTCTGCCCACTCTTTGCCTTCCATTGCAATTCTTTTGGCTGCCTCATCGTGGGCATTGCGACCCTGGTATCCACGAAAAAATTCCATGATGCCATAGTAATCGATAAATCGGTTGTCCATGGGAACAAAGTGCTTCCATGGCACCAGACGAGAGTCATGCCACTCACGAAAAATGGTTGACTTGATGGGGAGAGAAGTAGATCGCAGGAACCCCAGGTATCGGCCAGAAAATGAGTTGCCGTCAATGTCAGGCAAGAACTTGTAGCTGAACTGCTCGCTCAACTTGATGCCCTCTATGGGTTTGAAGTAAAAGTCGGTGTAGTTGCAATTGTTCCCTTGATCAGGAGTGTTGCACATGAGGTCGATGAACCCAACATCGGCGAACTCGTCAACCCAAGGTCCCAGATTTTTGCCCGCCTGAGCCTGCACGCCGTATTCCTTCTCGGGAAGAACAAAGTTCTCTGCCCTGTCCTCACCAGACTCGACGCGAGCGACCTTGGTGCCATTGTTCATGGCAACGAACCGATGACGTTGGAAGCCGCGCCAATTGTCCTCTGTATTTCTCCCACCAGTCGCCACTCCACGCCATATGGCTTTATCGGTCTTCTCGGGCCATTCAATACCGTGGTCACCGTTACCGACAAAACGCTCTTCTCCGCTGTAGTACATGGGTGCTGGAAGGAGTATCTCGTTGTTGACGGTCAGCTTGGAACCACCAAACATGGGGAACATCACCTTAGTAGATTTGGTCGACAAGGGTCGGATGAGAAGGCCCTCGAGGCCTTGTAAATCAGGCTGATGGCAAACTTGGATTGACTTGGTGTAGTTGGAAACGTAGCCTTTGTAAAAATGGGGTTCAGCATATGTATTGTTAATAGTTGGAGGCTCTTGGAAAGAGCTCTGAAGTTCCGTCGTCCTCGCAAGACTGTTAGGGGGGCAGCCACGCCGAACGATCTTCCAGTAGAATTCTATGGCAATATGGTTAGTTTGTGCCTCTATTTGGAGAATCGAATCAAACCAGTCACAGGATACTTGACACTTACCATCTTCCTCCCAATTCTTATCCATAATATCACCTGCTAGAAAGCCGGTCTTTGGTTTGGGCCAAGGGCGAAATTTGTTCACCGTCTTGCCAGCACTTGGGAGCTTTCGTGTATGAAAGGCATTCTTCATATATCCGTTGATGTCCTCCCATGGCACAACCAGCCGGGGTTCATCCATGGCGTTGAGAGCTATGTCCATGTCGGGAAGCAAAGCCTCAATCGTCTTGGCCATGTCGAGCCAGATCCTTGTCCACATCCAATCGGACTCAGCCGTGGCCGTGCCATTACGAACATTGATGGTCATTTCAAACTGGCTGGCCTCGCGGCGCATTGGAGCAGGGTCGATGCCCCAGAACGGTTCCAGGTCTTCGTATATCTGGTCAAAGAATGCTTCTACAATCAGAGCATTGTGTGACTGGGCGTATTCGAACCATTTGTCAAAGTGTGGAGGAGGATGCCTTCCACGAGCCTTGCGATAAGCCTGGGCAGCCTGCTCCAATGTTTTTGATTCGCCAGAAGATATTGCTGCAAACTGATGCTGAGCATCGTAGATAAGCTTGGCTATCGGGTGACGGTCCTCTGAGTCGGCGGCTGGTACAGTGTCTTCTGGTCGCTTGGGGCTGTCCGGCGTCACAGGTGGTTTTACTGGATGTGAGTCGGTCGACTGGCTCTTATCGGTTTTATCGTCATCAGCAGTGGTTTCCTTGCTTCCCTCAGGCGGGGGGGTCACAGTCAAATCGAAACTGACCAGGTCTTCAGCGCGTTGGTGAAACTTCCAAAACGCTACCAAGAGAATGAAAGCCAAGACGCCGTAGCGAAGGAAGCCCGACCGCCGCCGTATGAAGGGCCTGGCGAGGAACATCTTGGACATTTTATCTTCTTTGGACGGGCGAGGACTGTACTCCTTGGCCAGGGTCTCGATTTGTGTTTTTGTATGTCAACAGTATCTGTCGTGATAGTACGGGCGGCGGAAGGCTGTCTTCGATGGCTTCGAACCTCGGTGCGATGGTGCGATGGGACCTAGTTCGCCGCGATCGTCGCCTGGTCGCAGAGGTGACTTGAAAGTTGTCGGTGTGAAGCTTTTGAGTGATAGTTCCTAGGCGCAAGCAGCGAAGGAAGGCAGCCTGGATGAGTCCAATATCGAAGGCAAGAGTACCAGACTGGGGTTTTTTGACGGTTGTCCTGGCTAGCCTCGTAACATTCGGCCAACAGGGAACACGGGCTGTGCGCCAGGCTCAGTCTGTAAGTCTGTAGCAACTCAAGCCCAGGCATACAAGACGTTCCGTGTCTTCGAGTTTGGCGAGGGCAAACTCCCAGTCAAGGAAGCATCGTAGACGAGTGGTGTTCTGCAGTTCGACAATCAAGTAGGCGGAGGGGGTACGACATCAGGTGGCAAACAAGGCGTAGAGCTGCCCTGCGAGCTTCAAACGTTTAATATGGTTGGAACCATCAACGGCGCTCCGTACTACAGTTGACCTTCTAGGTACTAGGTACGGGGTACGGCGTAGAGTACGAGGCATTAGGACATGTTCCATCCACACTTCCTTGGCCAGGGCCCAGATGGATGGGTCCGGGGTCCCCTGTTGCCATACGTAGAGACTCCAGCAAGCACTGCAATATCCCAAATGCAGGCTAAAGCTCGACAGCGGAGCCCATGGAGACGATTTGAGAGGGCAAAAAAGGGCAAGGCCAAGGGTAGACGCCGCTGAGGGAAGCACGGACCACGGACAAAGCAGGTGAGTTCTCGAGTGACGAGACAGAACAATGAAGACAATGAAGATTCCAGCAATCGAACCAGGACCGTACGGCCTTGACATGTGATATGGCAGGTCTTGCGGCTTGCATGCAAATCTAAGATATTGATCCAAAACTGCGGGGTTATGCTGCCCGCGACTTTATGAACGGATTTAGAGATGCACATGTCAAAACAAATTGCAGCTATCGGGAGCCGTCAAGGCCAGCCAACCTGGCCCTGCTGCTCTCCTCTTGATTTTCTCCAAGGGACTTGTTAGGGAGAAAAGTGGACTCGGTCACGTTATGTGGTGATATGAGGGGTAATAATACTGGGGACACTTTAGGCATAAATAATAAAAAGAGAGACCAATTAATATAATTATTACTTTAAATTATTATATAGTTTTAATAATATAAAATAAATAAAGCTTAAAAGGGAATAATATATAATAAATTTTAAAAGAGAGCTTAATATAATATTAGGGTTAATACTAGTTTTCCTTTCCCTTAACCTATTAAAGAGAAAAGTAAACTTAATTACATTATATAGTAATGTAAGGGTTAATAATACTAGGGATACTTTAGGTATAAATGATAGAAAGACAGACCAATTAATAGAACTTATACTATAAATTATTATATAGGGGGGATAGCTGGCTTAGCCACGCGGCACTAGGCGCCCCGTAACAGCAATAACACTTTACAACCAATTATTGTTAAGCGCCGAATTTAGACTAGACATGTCGGGGAAACGCAGTGGTGCATTGTGTTTGTAAGGTGGTTGGGGAACCCCGCCCACCTATAACGCGATTAATAACGTTACGTGGAATAGGGGCTTTAAGACTATATCCCTTATATCTCGTATAATTAGAAAATAGAATAAGCTTTAATTATTATAATATAGCTACCCTTACTTTAGTTACTTAACTTCTAGTCTCTCTTATAATCTTATAATTTTTAAAGCTTCTTAAAAAGTTACTTAGTTAAAATAATAAGAATAAGCACTTAAAAAACCTCTATTTTATAAGTGCCTTTACCTTTAATAGTAAAGAACCTAATAGAATTATTAAGTAATTAAGAGAATATAATAGTAACCTAATAAATAAATATAAGATAGCTTTTATTAGACTAAATAAAATATTTTAATATAATAATATACCTTAAAGCTTAACGGGATTATTAATTACTTATACTAGGTTTAAGAATATAACGTTTAAATATTTATTCTTTAAAGATAAAATAAAATTAGAGTTAATTTTAAGGTATATAAAAGATATTTACACTTTATTTTTTATTTACGTTAATAATTATTACTTAAAATTAAAAACGTAAAAAAACCACTTTAACCTTTTATAAAAAAGATATTTTTTAAGAGTAATATAAGCTCTTTAAAAGTAAAAGCTAAAACTCTTTATTTTAAAGGCTTACCCTTAAATATAATATACTATTTAAATTAAAATAATCTATTACTATACTTTTATTTTAATTACTTAAAATATATACGAATATAAAGCGAGTCTCTTATATTATAAATACCTTAAGAGAATAGTTTATATTAGGTATTATTATAAAAAGCGTTATTTAAAAGTTATTACTCTTATAACCTTAAAGTTATAAAGAAGCGTAAAAACTTAGCGCTAATTAAGCGTTAATTAATACTTTAAAGAAAGATAAGGTAAATATAAATACGTTAAAACGCGATCTTACCTTAATTTATATAAGAAAACTCTTTATTTTAAAGGCTTACCCTTAAATATAATATACTATTTAAATTAAAATAATCTATTACTACGCTTTTATTTTAATTACTTAAAATATATATAAATATAAAGTAAGTCTCTTATATTATTAGCATCTTAAGGGAATAGTTTATATTAAGCGTTACTATAAAAAGCATTATTTAAAAGTTATTACTCTTATAACCTTAAAGTTATAAAGAAGCGTAGGGATTAAGCGCTAATTAGTATTTTAAAGAAAGATAAGATAAATATAAATATATTAGAACGTAACCTTACCTTAATTTATATAGGAAAATTAAATTTAAAGGCTTACCTCTTATAATTCTAAAATCTATATATAAATTATTTATTAATTACGTAGCTTTATAAAACTATAGTTTTATAGTTTAAGTATTCTTATATTATACTTAAGAATCTAATAAAAGATAATAATTAATGCCTTAGATATATTTATAAATGTTTTAAGCGTAAAAGAGTTAAATAAACTAATTAAAGATATATTATAATATTTAGGTTAATAGATTTATATAGGAAAACTAAAAATTAAGGGGGACCCCTTATTAAAGTAAAATCCTTATATAAATCTAATATTACTATTTCTAAGAAAAGGTAAATAGAATAGCTCTTTTTATTTTTTAACCTTAAATAAATTTTAGATAAAGAGCTAAATTAATTAATAGTAAAACGCACCTAAATATAGTAAAGCTTTAATTTATATAGCAAATACGAAATTTAAGGTCTACCCCTTAAAAAATAAAAAACCTTATATAAATGTAAATTTCTTAAACTTATTAAAAGATATTAAGTTTAGTAGCCTTTATTTTAAGAACTTAAAGAATTTTATTATAGCTTATAACCTTAACTTTTATTTAAATATAATAGGATATAGCTAGGCTTTAATTTATATAAAAAATCTAGAATTTAAGGTTTATCTCTTTAAAAAGTAAAAACCCTATATAAATAACGAAAATCTTTAATTATCTTTAAAAGTAAAGGCTAAAACTCTTTATTTTAAAGGCTTACCCTTAAATATAATATACTATTTAAATTAAAATAATCTATTACTACGCTTTTATTTTAATTACTTAAAATATACACGAATATAAAGTAGTTCTCTTATATTATTAGTACCTTAAGAGAATAATTTATATTAGATATTATTATAAAAAGCGTTATTTAAAAGTTATTACTTATATAACCTTAAAGTTATAAAAAAGTATAAGAATTAAGCGCTAATTAACACTTTAAAGAAAGGTAAGATAAATATAAATATACTAAAACGTA